TAAGAAGTCTCCTAATCGTCTGATTGTGGACGAAGCGATCAATGACGACAATTCTGTGGTTTCCATGCACCCTTCCACAATGGAGAAGCTTCAGTTGTTCAGAGGAGATACAGTTTTGCTTAAGGTGGGTTTTTTTCCTTCTCTCTAGCTGCTTGGAGATGATTAAATAATCTCTTACTCTCGCTTTCTTTGTAAAAGGGCAAGAAGCGAAGAGACACCGTTTGTGTCGTGCTTGCTGAAGAACAATGCGAAGAACCGAAAATTAGGATCAACAAAGTTGTTCGAGCTAACCTCAGAGTACGCCTTGGAGACGTCATATCTGTCCATCAATGTCCTGATTTAAAGTATGGAAGGAGGGTTCATATTCTTCCGATTGATGATACCATTGAGGGAGTGACTGGCAACTTGTTTGATGCATATTTGAAGCGTAGGTCTCAAATTCTCTCTCTCTAAGTCACTATTCTCTCACCTCTGCAGTTTTTACTCACTGCAATTTTGGGTCAGATAAGATATGTAGCTTGTCTTTTATTGTTTTGCAGCTTATTTCTTGGAATCATACCGCCCTGTGAGGAAAGGTGATCTTTTCCTTGTTAGAGGTGGCATGAGAAGTGTTGAATTTAAAGTAATAGAGACGGACCCGGGTGAATACTGCATTGTCGCACCAGATACTGAGATCTTCTGTGAAGGAGATCCCATCAAACGTGAGGAAGAGGAGAGACTGACTGAAGTGGGCTACGACGATGTTGGTGGAGTGAGGAAACAAATGGCTCAGATACGTGAGCTTGTAGAACTTCCTCTTAGGCATCCACAGCTGTTCAAGTCCATTGGTGTGAAACCCCCCAAGGGCATCTTGCTTTATGGGCCGCCAGGATCTGGAAAAACATTGATCGCGAGAGCTGTAGCTAATGAAACTGGTGCATTCTTCTTTTTAATCAACGGACCTGAAATTATGTCGAAATTAGCTGGCGAGAGTGAAAGCAATTTGAGGAAGGCTTTTGAGGAAGCCGAAAAGAATGCTCCAGCAATCATTTTTATTGATGAGCTAGACTCTATTGCGCCAAAGAGGGAAAAAACACATGGTGAAGTGGAGAGGCGGATTGTTTCTCAACTTCTGACCCTGATGGATGGTCTTAAAAGCAGGGCACATGTGATTGTCATTGGAGCTACCAATCGACCCAACAGCATTGACCCTGCTTTGAGAAGATTCGGAAGATTTGATCGGGAAATTGATATTGGTGTACCGGATGAGGTTGGGAGGTTGGAAATTCTGAGAATCCATACGAAGAATATGAAGCTCGCAGATGATGTGAGATTCTTTCATTGCCTTTGATGAATAAGTAACAGAATTTTTTTTTCCTTTCATGAGAGTGACAGTCCCTGATGTCTACTATTGTTGTGTCCCAGGTTGATCTAGAAAGAGTGGCAAAAGATACCCATGGTTATGTTGGTGCCGATCTTGCTGCTCTTTGCACTGAAGCTGCTCTTCAATGTATCCGTGAGAAAATGGATGTGATTGATCTGGAGGATGAAACCATTGATGCTGAAGTTCTGAATTCAATGGCCGTGACAAATGAACACTTCAAAACTGCTCTGGGAGCTTCCAATCCTTCGGCGTTACGGGAGACGGTGAGTTCATTTTATAACCATTTTAGGTTTTAGGGTCATGTTTGTTCTGTTTGCGGCACATCACGGTGAAGGGGATAAAGTTCTTTGCCTGTCTACTTGTTCGGCACTTTGGATTAGTTTTGTAATGAACTGGAGGGCAGAATTAAGTAAACATGCCTGGATATTTTGTTGGTAGGTTGTGGAAGTTCCAAATGTCTCCTGGGATGATATTGGTGGGCTGGATAATGTCAAAAGAGAACTTCAAGAGGTTTGTAGATGGTCAATAATTATTCTAATCTATTCCTTTATTTTTTTCTGATATTGAACTTTGATTTGGTGACAGACTGTCCAATACCCAGTGGAGCATCCTGAGAAATTTGAGAAATTTGGCATGTCCCCTTCGAAGGGTGTTCTCTTTTATGGTCCTCCTGGTTGTGGGAAAACTCTTCTAGCAAAAGCAATTGCTAATGAATGCCAGGCAAATTTCATAAGTGTTAAAGGTCCCGAGCTGCTGACAATGTGGTTTGGAGAAAGTGAAGCAAATGTGAGAGAGATTTTTGACAAGGCGAGGCAATCTGCTCCTTGTGTTCTTTTCTTTGATGAACTTGATTCCATTGCAACTCAGGTACATCCTTTGTCCCCCCCTCGATTTCTAGAACCATATATGATACGCTTGTGCTTTTGGTCTCTTTAAATACATGACAAAGTGGGTCTCTAATTGCAGATTGCCATGTTTTCACTTTTGACATAACAGAAAACTTTCTTCTCTTGTTCGTTGCATTAGTGGAGATGCTTACATTTGTTTATGTTGCTGAATGCTTTCAGCGTGGAAGTTCTGTGGGTGATGCTGGTGGTGCTGCAGATAGGGTTCTGAATCAGCTTCTAACAGAAATGGATGGAATGACGGCGAAAAAAACTGTTTTCATAATAGGGGCAACAAATAGGCCAGATATCATTGACCCAGCATTGCTCAGGCCTGGACGATTGGACCAACTAATATATATTCCTCTGCCTGATGAGGCTTCTCGTCTCCAGATTTTCAAAGCATGCCTGAGGAAGTCCCCTGTCTCTAGAGATGTCGACTTGGCAGCTCTTGCACGTTATACTCACGGTTTCAGTGGTGCTGATATCACTGAAATATGTCAGCGTGCTTGCAAGTATGCTATCAGAGAAAATATCGAGAAGGTAATGGGAGTTGTTCCCTTTAACTCAAATTTGAAGCTTTCATCACTATGCAATCAGAAAACTAATTGAAATTTCATTCTCTGACTTCTCTGACTTAAATGTGGAAGCTTTTACAGGCTTCCAATATGGGCCTGTATGTACATGAACGTCTTAGTAACTGATGCATTCAATGGTGGATGTGTTATGTGTAGCAATTATGGCAGGTGGCATCACCATTTTTTATACTGTTTGCCATACAGCGATAGAAAATTGAACTTAGAGGTCTTGGTGCCAGAAGTTGATAATTGAATGCACGTATGTTTTGGTGTGTGGGGTGTTGCTCCCATTATGCTTCTTAATGTTTTTTAGAATCCATTAGTGGAGGTTGTTTTTTGTGAATTCTGAACCAACAAAATAATGGTTCATAGATGTTCTTAACTATACTCCATGGGGTTGGAGTTAGGCTCAGTGACTTCTTTCCCTTTACTTCTGAACTTGCTTGATTTGTGTGCTTGCAGGATATTGAAAGAGAGAAACGGAAGAGAGAGAACCCGGAAGCAATGGAGGAGGATGTTGCTGATGACATCTCTGAAATTAAGGCAGCGCACTTCGAGGAGTCGATGAAATACGCGCGTCGAAGTGTCAGTGATGCGGACATACGGAAATACCAACTCTTCGCTCAGACTCTGCAGCAATCCCGTGGTTTTGGATCTGAGTTCCGGTTCCCTGACCGTCCCGAGAATGCCGCTGCAGGAGGAGCTTCCGACCCATTTGCTTCTGCCCATGCTGCTGGAGATGATGATGATCTGTACAGCTGAGCTTTAGACAAATTTAAAACTTGCAGGTTTTTTCTTCTTCCTGGTAGAAATTCACGAGATGTCGTAGCTTATCTGATACATGTTCAGAAATGATCAAATTCAAACCGTTATGATTTGAATATTCAGTATACTGGTTTTAGTAAGCGCAAGTCTTCCTATTTAGGATCGTTTGAAGAGGATAATCTGACCACATTGATTTACTGATTTAACAGGTATGTGGGGAGAGCTGCTTCCTCTGCGCTATGTTAGTTTGAACCCCGTTTCATAATAAACCAGCAGCACAGAAATGCGATGCTGTCTTCCTGGCATCTATAACAGTGAGTAATACCTACTTTTTCACCTTCTTTCAGAACTGGAGTTGCTAATCTGTGTCGAGGATTGCAACTCTTGGTGAGTTTTATATTTTTCTCGAATGTAAATAGTAAGTGCATGGGAAGTCTTTCCTTCCCTTAACCATGTGGCCTGTGACCCACACTTGGCAAAGGCGTGAATTTTCTTTCTCTCCGTATAATAAATAAAGTGGCCCTTTTGTCAAAAGCAATGCAGCGAGAAACAGGGCTTTATGGTACATACAACTCTTTCTGCTAAGATCCTTTGAAGCATTCACGTGGGATACAATGTAAATATAAGTTGCAATCCATGCATGTGTTAAGAGAACCAAACATGAGACCCCTCCATGTTCTCGAGTGGGATTGAGTAATTTCCCCACAGATTCTTCAATTCTTTAGGACCAACACTATAAGATTGTGGATCTCCCTGGTAGGGGTCCATCCAGTCTCTAGAGTAAGCCTGTACTTTGTTTTTAACTCACACATGCACGTCACGTGAGAGCCGAGAAAGAGCCAGAGAGGCATCTTGGGCTTTTTTAGGCTGATTGTCCTTGGCGTTTAACTTCTTGCGGTATCCAGAAGATGCTGCAACACTTCCATGAGCAAGTTCTCAGTTTAAAACCTTTCACACTCTTCATCCATGTTTTAACTTGAAAGATAAAAACCAAAGTCATAGTCACTAGATTATTAAGTGTCCAAAGGAGCACATATTCAGTTGAAAGATGAAGCTAGCAGTGTCATCATTATACCACTTTAAAGAGTTATGATGGCTTGTTATTGTTAATGAGTTTGATCTAGAATGGTCTCTCCTTTGAAGCATATTGCATTCTAATCTCCATCACCTCCCTTTGCACATGGTGGGGGCCTGAACTTTTGCATGAAATGAAGGGGAGCTAGCTTCATGTTGTTTTATTCATTGGTGAGACGTGGGTTTTCCTTGTTTTTTTCGTTTCTGCACAACCCAATCACAATCCCCTCAAATTCCCCACCACCACACAACCTTCCATACCCTCTATCCATCATCAAATCACCAATTATTAAAAAGAGAAAAGAAGATAAGGAAAATCAGATGCGAAGCCAATAGTGCATGCACAATTCCGCCAGCACCACCATCCTCATAGCCGCTTTCACAAGATATGATAGAAAATGACTTGACGGTTGGGGCAATATTTTGTTGCCTCTATCTCTCTCAAACGCCCCACCACTCATCTTGGGGAAAGACAAAAGAAAGTGAGGGCCAATATTTGCCAAGGAAAGTAATGTCAGCGTCTTTCTGTGTCAACACTTTTGCTCATCTACTTATATTGAAAAGAACACTTTTGCTCATCTTGGTGTCGAATCAGCTAAAATATCAGACGCTGTTACTCCTAACTGATCTTTACAATGACCTCTCATCTACTTCTAGCTAGTTATGAAAGCTTAAGAATTGGATTTATTTCAACTAAACTAGACTAAAATTGTCATTGGTTTCCTGAGCCATAATGGGCTGAAGAGGATGAATAAGCCAGTGAGCTGTGTGAAGACCCCTGGAGGATCAGTAGTTGAGCTGGAGTCACCGACGACGACGAGTAGGATGGGACCTCCGTGCTTTTCGCGACTTGGCAACTGTTTGGCTTGTGGGCCTCGACCCCCGTGGTCGGATCTTGTCGGATCTCTCTCAATAATGCCACGACATCTTTCATTGTGGGTCGATCCTCGAAGCGATTGCTCGTGCATAGCAGCGCGATCCCGAGTGCTTGGAGCATTTCCTGTACCTGCGTGTCCGGATGGCCTTGGAGCTTCGGATCCAGGATCTCCACCGGGTCCTTCTTGCTCTTCAAATAGTCCCGGACCCATTGGATGACGTGTTGGCCATCGGGGAATGACGGGTCCACCGGCCTCTTCCCGGATATGATCTCTAGCAGGACCACTCCGAAGCTGTACACATCGCTTTTCTCGGTAATCTTCAGCATGCAAGCATACTCTGCAGATACAATAATTGAGGATTTCATTACTCTTCGGAATGGTAATTGGATGTCATCGATTGCAGCTGAAAAAGACAGTGTACATGCTTTTACTTTTACGCCTGAACGTGCACAATCCAGAAGGAGCCAAACGGGTGACATCTTTGGCCTAATACATGCAAATTTGCAATGTCACATCGTGCTTACAAGTGAACAGATACCGTGCATGCAAAAGGCATATATGGTCACGCCAACGTATGATTTCCATGTAATACTGCCAATTATGCGTTTAAAGGTCACTTCTCACGATACAAAAGCAAACGATAAAGCAGCAACACTCGATGATCTGAGTGACCAATCCTTGTTCTTGAGACCCCATTTACCGTTTTGTCATTTATGACCCAAAAGCGATTATAGATTAGATGTTCATGCTAAAGGGTTTCTAATCCTCTCCTTAACCCTTCTCGTTCTGGACAAAAAAGTCGAACTGAAATTGTCAAACTATCACGAACTTAATGAAATGACATGGAAAATGATTAGGGAATGAACATGTACCGGGTGCAATGTAGCCGTAGGAGCCAGCGAACTGCGGGCTTGTTGAGAGAGAGGCATTGCCGTTCTCGACCAGCTTGGCAAGCCCGAAGTCGGCCAGGCACGCCTCGTATCGATCCCCTAACAGTATGTTATGAGCCTTCACGTCACGGTGCAAGATTGGTGGGACGCAGTCTTGGTGCAAGTAGGCCAATCCCTCGGCCACTCCTAATGCTATCTTGAACCTCGTCTCCCACCCGACTGATCCCGCGGAATTGCCCTCGTGTAATAGAGCACCTAATGTGCCATTAGGCATGTAGTCGTAGAATAGCAATTTTGCTCTCTTGTTCGCGCCCCATCCTAATAATCGGACAATGTTCCGGTGCCGGATTCGCGCCAACGTGGCGATCTCGGCCGAGAAGGCAGCCACGGAGAACTTCTCCAACACTTGGAACTTCTTCACCGCGACAGTCAGCCCGGACGGGATGGTCACCCGGTAGACCACGCCGGACCGGCCACGGCCGATCACGTTGGCAGCCGTCAAGCACCTCGCCACGTCAGCGACCGACAGGTCGAGCTTCTGGTAGAGCGTCACTTCCCAAGGTGGGCCCATCTCCACGTCACGGTCCCCTTCGCCGGGCCCACCACGGAAGCCCATTGGGCCCCTCCTCTTCGATCCGAGGATGATGTAGAGCGCCGCCAGGAGCAAGGCGCAAGCCGCGCAGAGCAGGACCACCATCGCCACGCGCGCGCCGGAGACGAGCCTGGAGCCGCCGCGCTCGCCGGCGCCGCAGCCGACGTTACCGGAGAAGCAGAGGGAGGGGTTCCCGGAGAGGACGCTCAGGGGGAGCCTCGCGAAGAAGGGGGTGTCCGGCACGCGCCCGGAGAAGTTGTTGTGGGAGATGTTGAGGACCACGAGGTTCTGCATGTCGGCGATGAACCGGAGGTCCCCGGAGAGCTGGTTGTGGGAGACGTCCAGCACGCCGAGCCGGTCGAGGTCGGCGAACTCCGCCGGGACGTCGCCGGAGAGCTGGTTGCAGCTCAGGTTCAGCGCGATCTCCAGCGCCGGGATGCCGCCGAGGCTCGCCGGGATGTCCCCGGTGAGCTGGTTGCTGCTGAGGTCGAGCAGCTGGAGCTTCGCGCACGAACCGAGTTGGGTCGGGATCGGGCCGGAGACCCGGTTCTTCGCGAGGACGAGCTTGGTGAGCGAGCTCAGCGAGCCGAGGTTCGGGCTCAGCGGGCCCTCGATCAAGTTGTCGGAGAAGTCGACGAGCTGCAACGAAGCCAGCCGGTTCAGGCTGCTCGGCAAGTTCCCGGATATTGAATTCGAGTGCAAATCCAAGAACGTCAGGTTCCGGCAGCCGGAAATCTCGTCGGGGATCGGACCGGTGATCCGGTTCGACCCGAGGTCCAGGAAATTGATGCTGCTCAGGTTCCCTACCTGGCGGGGGACCGGCCCGGTGAGCCGGTTGCCGTTCGCCCTGAACCGGACCAGCGACCCGCATTGCCCGATCTCCGGCGGGATCTCGCCGGAGATGTTGTTGGACAAGAGCAAGAGCTTGTTGAGCTTCTTCAGTTGGAATATTCCCCTGGGGATGGGACCGGTCAGGCCATTCTGGGACAAATCCAGGGCCTCCAGGTTTTGACAGTTGGAAATGGACGGTGGGATCATGCCCTGGAGCTTGTTCTGCCACAGGAACAGCAGCGTCAGGTTCGTTAGATTGCCCAGCTCGGAAGGGATGGTGCCCGTGATTTGATTGTTGTCGAGCTCGATGTAAGTCATCTCGCGGCAGTTCCCGAGCTGCCTCGGGATCTGGCCGGAGATCTGGTTGACGCTGAGCTGCAGCTCCTCGAGGCCGGTCAGGTTCCCGACGCTCGCCGGGATGCTCCCCGTCAACGAATTCATCGATATGTCGATCAGGACGAGGCTCTCGCAGTTGCCAATCTCGGGCGGGATGATGCCCACCAGTTCGTTCTGCCACAACAGCAGGCTCTGCAGGTTCTGCAGGTTTCCCAGCTGGCTCGGGATAAATCCCGACAGCGAATTCTCATACAAGTAGATGTTTTGAAGATTGGTGCACTGGCCAAGCTCGGGCGGGATCGGCCCCGATAGGAGCGCGGTGTATATGGCAAGGGTCTCGAGCTTCTTGAGCTCACCGAGGCTCGAGGGGAGGAACCCGGAGATGCTGGTTTCGGCCAGGCCTATCATGACCAGGTTCGTGCAATTGCCGATTTCTTGGGGCAATGGCCCTCCGAGGTTCTTGTTCCCGCCGGCCCTCACAACTTCGAGGTTGCTAAGCTTCCCTATCCCGGATGGTATTTCGCCACTGAGTTGATTGTCGTATAGCATCAGCGACATCAAGCTTGTGAGGTTCCCTATCAGGGCAGGTATCGAGCCTTCGAGCCGGTTCGAGTTCAAGTAGAGTTGCTCGAGCTGGGGCAAGCCGCAGAGCTCGCTCGGGATCTCCCCCGTCAGGGCATTGTCGCTCAAGTCCAAGTACGTCAACTCGGGGAGCGAGCCAATCTCTTTTGGGATCGACCCAGTGAGGTTTGTCCCCGACAGGACGAGCTTCTGCAAAGAATGCAGCGAGCTCAGATTGAAGGGGACGTACCCGAGCAAATCGATGTATCTCAGGCTCAGCTCAACCACCTCACTGTTGGAGTTGCAAGTGACTCCGAACCACCAGCACGGAGTTTCATCGGCCGGGTTCCAATCGCTCAATGCCTCAAGCGATCCGTTTAGGCTCGTCTTCCATGAGAGAAGGGCTTGGCCTTGCGGGTTGACGGCAGAGGCCGAGCAAAGGAAAGGCATGACAAGAAGCAGAAAAGAGAAGAAGCATAGGGAGGTGGGGAGAGTCCATGGATTTACAGGCATTAGAACAAGCAACAATTAAAACTATAATGCTACGAACTCCGAGGTGAGGGGAACAGAAAGGAGGGTTGTTTGTGCTTGAGCAGCCTAGGGAGCGGCAATGGTTGGAGAACTCAAATCATGTCTTGGTGGGCTAAGTGTCCTTTTTTTCTCTCTTTTTTCTTTATGAATGTATAACCACATGCATATGTAAGAAGCAAATTAAATGTTCCCAGAATCTCCGGATCCAAGAAACAGCTAGGCCATGATGTTTGTGCAGAGAGGAGTGGAATTTTAAGATTGGTTGCTTCTTCTTTTTGCATTAGTTTACTGAGGTGGGGAGGTGGGAAAGGAGAAAGAGAGAACACTTGCTGACTTTTTTAATTTGAATTGGGGAGGAGGAGGAGGAGAAAAGAGTAGAGAAGAGAGATGGGCTAACTGGCAAAAGTAAGAGTCTCTGTCTGTAATTTTGTTCTAAACTATTCATTAAGTTTATCTTACAGTGGCCTTGTGGCACAGAATCAATTTGGCATTGCCTCTTTTCTCACTCAGTTCGGAGACCCCTTTTCACATCCGAAAACTGCGGGAATGGTTCTTCTCATTGAGTGAAATGGAAGATAAAGCCTTGTGTTTCAGTTTTTCGATTGCCTTGCTTACCTTTTGATATGCCTCAGGTTGATGTTTCATTTTCACTCGAAAAGTTGCCATTTCGATGACATAGTAAAACGTCACTACGTCTCTGTCTCTCCACCAGTTCATGTCCAAAACCCGGAGAGCTTGGCTTGAGGCCAAAAGGTTTTTGTCTTAGGGAACTAAAACGTGATTCAGAGCAGCATTAGAGGTCAGATTTAGATCTGAAATCAATGGATAGAAATATGCAGACAGGGACTGAGTCTGCAGCTAGAAAACTGTTTCTGCTAAATTTCTTTTTCTCCATGATGGGATCTATGACACGCTCAATACTTCCATTAGTACCATTTCCTAATTCTGTAATTACATGAATTAGGAAAACAATTATAAATGTGAGTTGTCAGAAGAAAAACGAAAAACAAAAGGGGGTGTGAAAACTCCCTCCTCTAGCATTATCAGAGTTCTATATGACAGAGAATTACGCAGCAAAGTTTTCCACACAATAAAAAATCAAATGGAGATCCCATCATGTGACTCCATTGTCCACCCACCACAAAATCCATAACCTCTTTTCTAATTTAAAAGCTAAGCAAGGAAGGAGAAAAGAAAGGTGCGGTCACGTGATGTCGTGTGACGAGCAGCCATGTTCTACAGACACTGCCTTCCTCGTGACTTAATCTGTGGAGTGCTTATGTTATTGTAGGAACCTTTTGCATTGTTATACAAGTGTCCACTGGGGAATCTTGGCACGAGGTGGGGAGGTCGCACATGATGAGCTGAGAAAGAGGGAGAGATGATGAGTTTTCTGAGTTGTTTATCTGATTCTTCATTATTTTCTTTATCTTGGGTTTTATAAATTTGATATTGAAAGATGGCAAAGAGGAAGAGACAACAACCACCCATCAAAAGTAGAGAAGCCCCCCTAACCTACACCACCACCAGCTTCCATTCGCCATAATCTCTGTATTGATGTCGACATTAAGCTTTGCCCTTATCATGAGCTCGTGCACATTCTTGAATGATTGCAGTGTTGCATCTAACGTCTTCTGTAATACCAGTTGGTCTTCAATCCACCTGTTTGAAAGCGATTCCAATCGAATGTATGTGTGTCACCACGCACATAGGAATATCTTCTGTAATACCAGTTGGCCTTCATGTCCATCCCATGATGTTTATCAGCCACACACTATCCTTGGACAAGACGGCATGCATGGCATTATCCACAGTGATGTGGAATCTGTTCTATAGTATTCGAGAAGTTACAGGCCATGTAGGTATAATTGGATTGGACTTTAATCGCCTTTTTAAGATCGAAAGGGGTGTCACTTGTTAGGTGTTTTGCTTCTCCATCTTTGCTTAGTCCGCATAAAAAAAGGTGATGTCAAACTATAATTAGAGGTTCTTGTGGTTACAAACTTTAAAGTTCGAATTTCGGTTCTAGTGTATTTTAATCACAAAAGATAAAAAGGATGCGTCAAGTTAAGCTTTTCCAATGAACAATAGACCTCTAAAGTCTCTTGACAAAAAGTTAGGGTGCTTGGTAAAAAATTTTTTTGAATCACTTTAAAAAAATGTTAGCATCCACAGCATTTTCAGAATGCAACTTTCAGGGGTAATGGACTTTTTTCTCTTCCAAAATTACCCTAACAAATATTTTCATTTTTCAGTCATGCCCACCTAAGAAACTATTCATTTTCTTCGATGTTGCAAATCTAGGTCGCCAATAAAGCTTCGCCGAGGGTTGCGCGAGGCTAGCACACTGTCGCCAATGGTCACCGAGGGTGGCTGAGGTTCGCTGAGCCTCGTCGACTGTCTTAGGTCTATTAGGCGAGATCTAAAGGGGTCGTAGCTCATGCAAGATCTAACGAGTAGAGGGGTTGACAAGGCTAATTGAGGGTTGCCGGTAGACCTGTTAAACGGGTGGGTCGGGTCGGGTTTGGGTCGGGTCATAAATGGTCCGACCCAAATTGACCAATTAACCCGTTTATGACCAATTTATTCATAGTGTAAATATTTCGATTCATACCCGACCCGACCCATATTGCTAAAACACTTTTATATTTAACCTAATATAGGAATACTTGTTTCTTATGATTTTTTTTTTTAAATTATACTGCTAAAACATTTTATGCAATACAAAGCTAGTGAAAATTTTTTATAATTTTTTTTTAAATTGAGGTTCTGTTTGTTTTATAAAAAATGCGACATTTCTAGAAAATATTTTCCATAAAGTCATTATCTAAGAAAAGAAAAAAAAATTAATATTTTTTTTATTTTTTAAATCGAATTTTAATTATTTTTTTATTTTTTTTTTTTCCTTTATTTTTGGCCGATAGAAGGTCGCCGGCCAGCGAGGACGAGCTCGCCGGAGGCCGGCGAAGCTCGTTCTCGCCGGCCTCCGGCGAGGTTGTCCCGCCCTGGTGGCCGGTGGCCGTGGCGACCACCGCGAAATAAAAAAAAAAAGAAAAAGAAAGAAGAAAAATAAAAGAAAAAGAGAAAAATAAAAATAATTAAATTTCGATTTTTTAAAATATTTTTGTAAAGAGAGAGAGAGTGTGGAAATCTAGGTCGCCAATAAAGATTCGCCGAGGGTTGCGCAAGGCTAGCACACTGTCGCCAATGGTCACCGAGGGTGGCTAAAATTTAAAGCCCATTTAAGGTCTGGATTCTTTAAAATTAAAGTGACCATATATGACCATTTATTTTTAAAGGTCATATATGGGTTTAAGACCCATTTTGACACCTGAGGGTTGCCGGTTGCGAGGCTTGCCAAAGCTCTAGATCTATTTGTCACATCACGGGATTGCAGATTTTTTCATTGAGTATCGCTTGGATTTATTCTGCTCGCCAAGGTGGTGCGACCTCGCCTGGGCTTACGGTGATCGTCACTCAGATCTATTCTGATCAGATTTGTTTGTCGTGAGGTTCGCCGAGGTTAGCGTTACATGAGGTTGCGGGACCTTGTAGGCCTCACCTGAGCTCGCGGCCGCACACCCTCTCCTGAAACTTCTAGCTACTGTTGCTTCTTTGTTGCCGAAGCTTCCGGTTCCAACTCTTGTCGCTTCAATCTCTATGATCTTCTTTTTTTTCACTTCAAAGCTGCTTTACAATAAGATGTCAAAACTCAATTATCCAAATGCTCTTTGTTTCCACTAAATACATATTACGTGAAACATCTTTGGAAAAATGACTTTGCATTTTCCCAAAATCTAATCAAACGCATCATGAGCACTATTAACTTGGGCTTATACCCCTCCTTTTACCCGAATAAATATGAATTTTTATTATAGGCAAAACGTCCAACTTTCAAGTGAATTTTACATAACTTCGATGGAATGATAGAAATTAATCCTTAAGTCTTTCATAGATTAAATTAAACACAATGATTCTTCGTTCCATGCTGGCAAAACAAAACTATATACCAAAATAAGAATTGCTCCATGAAGTCTAAACTTCAAGACCACCATGCCTGAGATGATGTGGAAGAACAAACATTATATATGCACAAGGTGAATTATACCTATAGCGATATTAAAATAAGATGGTCTTGATGCATTTGACAGACGTATTAAATGCAGCATTTAAGCTTTTAAATTTATTCATTGTGGAATTATTACGTTTGATTTGCCAAAGAAAAAGTCATTATGGACCTAACACAGAACCTGTACTTTTGACTTACTTTCAATTAGTCAAATTTAGCAGCTCTAGCTTAATTTGATTGCTCAAAAGCGAAAGCTTTTGGACCCTCTTGTGAATAATTGAAAGTATATTGAAGCCGAATTAAAGCCACGTTGAAAGTTTTATTAAATGCACTAATTAATTAAAATCATACGAATCGCGGGTCTTCTTTTTCGGTTTTTTTTTTGTTTTTCAACTAACGAGGTATAGAGGTCTTATATATATTCCAATAAAATATTTTTTCTATGTCACATACATAGAGTGATTGACACGTGCTATTAACTTTTCGGAAAAAAATAATTAAATCATACCGAATATGAATTTAGATTTCATGCATATATCACGGATCGGAAGATAATGTTTGGAAAAAGTTGGGATAATATATATAGTGCATTTCGGCTGCTTTAGAGAAATCATTGATAACAATAATCGGAAATAGTGTTAGGGAAAAGTTGATGTAGCCAATGATCGGTCAATTGCTGTATGATTTTGACCAAAGAAAAGTTTATAATGTGGGCCCTAACCGCACGACTGGATGGTATATACTAAATAATCCAAATCGATTCAAATCGAGGGTCCGTTTATCTAACAAAAAATATATGATTTAAAAAATATTTTTTTAAAATAATCTTTTATATTGCTTAAAATAATTAGTCGATGAAAATATTTTTATTGTTACCAAACATTTTCATGGACGATAAAAATATTTTTCATTCATTTATTTTTTAAGTAATACAACAATTAATT